AATTTAATCTTTCAAAATGGAAGCTCCAGAAAGACCACTAGGTGAGCAAGAGATGCCTCAGTTCTTCTTAGCTAGCACTGCTCTCAAATTGACCTATGTCCAGGTCTGTTGTTCCATATGTACCTTGAGGCATGATGCCATACCCAGAGTTAATCGCAGATTCAGCTACATACAAATCTTTTTATACAAGGGGATCATGAGAGAATTAAGACTGTTTTCCAGTCTTCTAGCTAAGCGAGGGCTAACTGATGGGGAAAGTAGAAAGCCAAAAGGTCTCCACGGGGTAGGAATCTGAGAGCAGAGCTACAGGTCACCCCCCACATTGCCCCTACACTGGGAACCTCCTCATTCTTATAATACAACTTCGTCCCTGCTGTTTCTTCTGCCCAGCCTTTACTGTTTTCTTGTCATCTTAGATGTGAACTCATACCTCAAGACCTAACTCAAATGCTACTCACTCCTCTCTACATTTTTCAACATCTTTAAGCTCTATGAAAGACTAGAATAAAAATGAGTGTGAGCTTAGAGGATACTTAAATTATCAAGAAACATAATTAATACATTTATGTGGTGGTATTTTTTATACACAGGGTCTTTGTTCCCTGCTTTTTCAGTGTGACTATGTACTTTTCCTCCCAACACATGGCACGTTCCACAGCAGTGATTCCCAAACACCAGATATTCAAATACCAATTACACATTTTTTTGGTCATAACCATTGGCCACCTGTAGTAGTATCTGCTTGTTTAAAATTTTTTTCTTAAATTGATTTTATAAGAGTTAGATATTTGCTTCAAAATCAGCACCACTTGCCCTAAATAGAAGTTATCCTTAAAAATAAATACAATGAAAATAAAACAGTACTGTTAAATTCTGGATAAAACCACTGCATGCGAAGACTTTGGGCTTAAGGTCCATAGTTTTTGTTTTTTGGGTGTTTGTCGTTGTAATCAGACAGGAAGATCAGCAAGTTTTAGAGAAAACTGAAGACAGACTAGTACCAAACTGAGCTTTTCTCCCTTGTAAACTCAGGGTAGAAAGAACCGACAATGAGACCACTTTCACACTCGTGTGACTCTTTAATGCCCTGTCTTTGACCATCAGTGCAAAAGCCCACGTTTTGAACCCTGCTGAGCGCAGGGCATATAGGGAGACTGGGTTCGAGATCCACTTGCAAATGCCTAAATTTGTTTCAGTAAACAAGTCACTTTTCTATCCATTGATGCCCCCGCCTCTCATTTTCCTTATTCACTCTCAGGGGAGTTTATGATAGTTTTCACATGAAATAGTTTACTTTTATCATCACTTTTTTTCTAGACTTTCATTAAATCAACAAAATGCTTTGAACTCATACCAGAAGCTCACCACTGAGACTGCAGCCACGGGGAAGACATTTCGTTCCCTCGCTGAGAGTTCTCTTTCTTTCTCCCCTTAGCTCTTTCCTCCTTTTTAAAATTACAGCGAATCAAATACCCAGTTTATTTATTTCAAGCTGATGAAAAGATTAAAGATCGGTGCAGCTTAAAGTATACTTGAACCCAGAGCTTTTCAAACCGCCCCACTCCTCCCAAACACACATTAACCCACGAAGATTGCCGTGGCAGTTTCCCCGCAGGCCACTAGGCGGCGCGCACATTTTTCGATTCCGAAAGAAAGTGCCTATGTGGGTACTACCCCTGAACTTTGGAATTGGTGTCTCCTTTCCCCACTTTCTATTCAACTTGGGGCAATTGTGGAGAGCCCTCAGGTTCACTCACTCCACTAAGCCATCCTCGACCCATGTAGTGACTCCTTGGCTGCCATTACGAAGAATTCTTTTGCTCCCCAAACCACAACAGTTTTGCTTCTGACTGTTTTCAGCATTTTGCCCTTTTGACATTTTAGAAAAAATAAGATCCAAGTTTAATGCTGAAAAGAAAGCACTAATTTATTTAGTGAGAAGATTTCTTCTCCCTATTACTGTTTTCCCTAGCTGTGGGGAAAATGCTCCTCTAAGTATTTAAAGCAGCTCCTTTGAGCAAAAGAGCTTTCTGAGGAATAACAGAGCTCTTTCTGAGCAGATCTTTTGGAGCTGACACTGGTACCCTTGTCAGCAGCATGTTGTATTTTTGAGGTCCAGACTTTGTCTCTGAATTTTACATTCTGAATTAACAAGGCCTTGAGTTCAAACACTGCGGAATACATTCCCAGACCAACTGTCCCTACAAATCAGGATCCAAGACCTAGATCCAGGAGTTCTCCAGGTTCTTCACCTGGTGTGTGGCCCTAGAACCTTAGACCTCACCATTTATCTGATCCCAAAGTCCCCTTCCCTCTAAATATCTACTCTGAGCTTTTCTTGGGAGTCAGCAAAGACATTAATGAAATAAATTGTAAATATGCCCTAATGCACATGGATATGATATTGCCTTTTGGATGAGCTCCTCCAAAGTTGACATGGGGAACTCTGGGAACAGGGCTTGAGCAAAAAAGAGTGAAGACTGGGCCTTGCCCACCCCTTTCTGTGAATCTCAATCAGCCTGTTCTTTAAGGAGATAAGCAACTTTCTTTCTTTTTTTTTAAGGGAGGTGTCAGAAGTCTTCTGAGGCTGCAGCTTTATGCAAATGCACTACTCAAGAAGAAGGCTTTAGGGGAGAGTTATTTATATCCCACAGGCATTACACATGCAAAAGGTGAAACTGTGAATCTCTGAATTTCCAGGAGTGGATGTTCTCATGATGAGCGCATCTTTGCAGTTAGCTATTTTGGTGGCACACAATTCCCATACCTGTCAGATTGTTCCGGGGAGGAGACTACATAATGATCCAGTAATTTTAGACTGACCCTGTATGTTTCTCTCCCAGTGGGACTGCATGACCTGAACTTTTTCTGGGATTAGATTTACTACCACCTTCATCTACCTAGTAATAGATACATTTCATTTCTTTTTCTCCTAAACAGGTACAGCTCTCAGTTATTAAAAGGTAATGATGTGGCACATTTATTGCCCCTTTCCCTTTCAGATTGACCCCTCGAATTAGCAAAGAAAATGGCCATGTCTCTAGGAATTATTGCCCTGCTCTGTCACTGGCTTACCCTACCCAGAAATACAGACCATTCTCCACATCGAAGTCTACAGTAATCACTTCAGGAAATTGCTTTCCCTATTGGAAACTGAGAGCTCAAATCGGAATGTTTCCACAGCACAGCTGATGATAATTACGACTCACTGAAATTTCAGTTTTCTTTGATTGTGACATAAAAACTGGGACATAAATTAAAACCCAATTATCCTTTAAGGGTAATTGGGGTTATAAAACCAAGAGACTGTGAGTCAGTGTGTCGATATTGCAGAAGCACAGTGTCTGATGGAACAATATGTGTTCTGTATCCCAAACAGCCTTTCACATGAAATGGCTGGGAATAAGGTGATCCGTGTACAGTGCATACCGAGAGTGTACATCAGACCAGGTGACAGCCTTGGAGAAATGCAGTGAGCTTCTAGGACATCTTGGAAAGATTAAAATATGCAAAAACTCTAATGGGAACGTCCTGGCCTTCACCTGTGAAGGTGCCCAGTGGTGGAACAAGGCACTCAGCACCAAGACTCCAGCCAACACCTGAGTGCACACTTGCAAAATGTGGTTCTATCTACCTGGGCAATAGGTACAGTTCTTTGGTGTAACACAATCCACATCATTATAGTCCACGAAAGGATGGACTTTGTTTTTCACGAAGGGCATGATCCCACAAAGGCTGCAGAAAAGATTTTTGGTAAATCAAGTCATAAGTTAACTGCATGAAGGAGAGCTCATTAAAGGAAGATTTGGATTATTATTTAAGGACAGGAATTGCCCACATACCTGTGGCTCTCTACCAGGCCACTTCTGGATGATGAGTATGTATACTCTTCGGGTCAAATCTTATCCACCAAAACTTCCCAACCACGTACCCCAAGCCCTATTGTGACACATCCCTCATTCTGGATTTTCAAAAGAGTTTCACTTCCTGGTCTTTCTAGAGAATTTTTTATTCCCTTCCATTGTGCACCGTTCGTATTTTTAAAAGAGTACATACCCACCATATGACAGTGACATTTTCCTCTCTGGCTCTGCCACTCTGCCCTTGCAGTGCCTTGACTGTGATGCGTGTGTTGGGCACATAGCAGACTCTCACTAAATGATGCTGAATATAATGCACCATTGAAACAGCATAACTCCAGATTTTTAATTCTTCTTTTTGGAAGGTAAACATTGCCATAAGTTATTAACTACACAGAAGACTTGAACAAATCCAGCTCCCTTTCAAAACCAACCAGGTTTTCCTTTGAGGGCACTCACCTCTGCAAACAATTTTCTGGCCGCAGGACAACATAAAGGTCCAGACTAGGGTATCCAGCAGACCTCTGTTTTTAATTGTTGCGTCAGTCTCATCAAGTCCCCTGAGAATCACGAGAGAGAAATGCAAGGTCCAGGTTATTTCCACAACCCTGGGAAACCAAGCTTGGATAGACATCTAGGGAAAGTGTTATGTCTGATCTGGGCTTTTGCAACCTTATTTCATAATCCACTTTCTTATCTATTATCTCGCAAAACCAAAGAGCAATTGGTACAAACTGTATTGACAAAAGATCAGAACTTGATTCTCAATGGCAAAGGCAAGTATACATTATAAATAGCAAAACAGCTGGCTTGGACCATGTTGCCGGCCACTCATCCAGTTGAGGGATTTGAATGACATCATAACCCTTGAGAGGGTATTGCTAGCCAGCTGGTGTTATTTAGAATACACAAAAATTGGAAAAAGAAAACACACACACACACACACACACACACACACACACACACACACACAGGTTCAAGTTATGCAGAAAAACATGAACAATGGAAAAATAGTTTGCCCCTTAGGTGCCTTTCCCTGGGCAGGGGGGAGGAATGGGGGGGAGGTTGGTAATAGGAAGCCTAGTAGAGAAAGGAAGAAAAAGATTTTATTTTTTCAGTTGGCTTTATAGCTCAGCAAAGTCTTTGCCCTGTTGCGGGCAAAAAGCATGAGACGGTGTCCTAAAGGGAGCCAATAGCAATGCTGCCTGCCCCTTTTCTAGGTTCTAGGAAATGAGATCATTCCCCTTGCTTGGCAACTAGGACAAGGGGTCACCCCAGTGCTGTCTTCCAACCTACTTTACCCCAGTCATTTCAGGGTTAAAACTGTAGGGTTTGCTCGAGATCTTTTTTTTCTTCATTTCTGTTTTTTTATTTTTGCATTTGCTCTGGAATAGAAAAATGCTCGCCCATCCTCCATTGTATGTTCCTTTAATACTGGTAAGGTGTATTAGCAGATGTGTGTGTCTCCATGACCAGCAGAAAGTTAATCAGAGAACAGATCCTTATTTTTTATGGCAGCATCAGTATATTAATGTCTGCTAACCCTGTCACTAACACACATTCTTTTAAGGGAAAAAAATGCTTCTGTGCTCTAGTTTTAAAATGCAAAGGTATGATGTTATTTGTCACCATGCCCAAAAAAGTCCTTACTCGATAACTTTGCCAGAAGAGGGAGAGAGAGAGAAGGCAAATGTTCCCCCAGCTGTTTCCTGTCTACAGTGTCTGTGTTTTGTAGATAAATGTGAGGATTTTCTCTAAATCCCTCTTCTGTTTGCTAAATCTCACTGTCACTGCTAAATTCAGAGCAGATAGAGCCTGCGCAATGGAATAAAGTCCTCAAAATTGAAATGTGACATTGCTCTCAACATCTCCCATCTCTCTGGATTTCTTTTTGCCTCATTATTCCTGCTAACCAATTCATTTCCAGACTTTGCACTTCAGAAGCAATGGGAAAAATCAGCAGTCTTCCAACCCAATTATTTAAGTGCTGCTTTTGTGATTTCTTGAAGGTAAATATTTCTTACTCTTTGAAGTCATTGGGGAAATTTCTTTAAATTGTGTACTGTTTGCTTCTGCCTAGAAATGTTATTCACTTTAGAATTTTCATTGTTTCGGAACTGGGAGTTATTTATAAATTGCTGAATATGCAATTCTGTGGGATCTGAAAAACTAGCTCCGGGAGATGGATGCCTTTGCACAGATATCTGTATGAGTAGAAACTATAGCAGGGTACTTATGCTAAATCCTCCACTTGTGCAGGGCTTCAGTGGTATCATTATAGAAGGTTCCTTTAAATCCTGTCTATGGTTAAGGGCTATAGAGCATGGATATGAACTTTTAGATTTTTTTTTTGCAGGTGCAGATGTTTTATTTTTAAGACCATGTTTCTGTGTGTGCGTGTGTGTGTGTGTGTGTAACTCGTCAGGACTTTTTATTACGAGGCATGCCACATACGAAGAGTTACCTTTTAGGTGATATTAAAGCTTTTAAATATGATCTTTGGAGCTAAGGTCCCAGAACTCTCTGCACTTATGCCCAGAGAGTCAAAGTTAGAGCGAAGTTTAATTTGCTTTTCTGAAAAAGAACTTGACAACTCTTGCTGACCCTGCATATTCGTATAATTTAAACAAATGCATACTGTATGTATGAAAAGCGGAAACTTTCTAGCAACTGCATGTCCAAGTTTTCTCTTTGGAAGAGGACTTTCATGGGTGAAGTTTGGACTTGGGATTTCGTGTTGTAAAACTGATTTTATACTCAGTGTTGTAAAGTCTCTTTAGGTAAATTTGGCTGCCGCTGTTAATGCCAACTTCTCGTTTCCAATCACTGGCCCTAGTTCAAGTTTCCATTCTCAGCAAAATTATATCCTTCAAGACTTGTGTTTTTCCAATTTGCAAGCATTTTTAAGCCACTGTCACTGGCTCCTCAATGCAATTGCCTAAGAGCTCAATTCATAAAACTTCCCTGCCACTTAATACAGCATTCATTTGCTGCTTTCAAATACTCCACCACTAGGATTTTTCTTAGTCAAGTAAGTGGCTTAGGAGTTAAGAGTACATCTTTGTCAGGCACCTGATTCTGCTACCTTCCAGGTGCCAAGACTGGCTACCTTGCTTTTAAAAGAAATGAAGTCTCTCTATATACTATATACATAGCATATATAATATACTATGTGGTCTGACAGCTAAGGTTTTTGTCTCTCTACTTAGATGATCATAAAAGGGGTTGTTGAGTGTTATCTCTGCATTAATTACAAGTTTGGAAAACTTTCTCCAAATGAACTTTTCAGAAATAGAGCTAGCAAATGTTGTTACTTTTCCTTTGTACCTGGAGCAAGAAGTGGCTCGAGGGAGCTTTGTGGTCCTTCAAATGTAATTCAATAAGTAAAGGGGTCCTGCCTAGAGGCAGAACTCAAAAGCTGACTGTACTCTGAGTCTCAAGATATTTGTAAGTGTTTGAGTCAGAGGGAAGGGGGTAAGGCAGAGGACTGGAGCTTGGGGTCCCGATTTAGAGCGGCTACAATAGGCACACAATGGAAATTGGTGCCTTGATGGCGGGGTGGGGGAGAGATGGACTCAAATCCCAGCTGTGCAATTTGTTCATTGTTTGATGGACAAAAGGCAGTTTACCCAGGCTAATGGCATACCTGCCTGGGTGTCCAAATGTAACTAGATGCTTTCACAAACCCCACCCACAAAGCAGCACATGTTTTTAAGTCCTCAGTTTTCTATTCACATCAGCCTCATAATACCCACCCTGACCTGCTGTAAAAGATCTGGAACAAACAAAAATGGTTACACCTACAGTGAGTATTTTCTTATGACTATTGCCCTCAAATTTTGCTGGGCATTTTCAATGTATCCCAGACATCTGGAATCAGTTGATATTCCATTTATTTAAGATAAAAAAGAAAGGTCTTTTAAATTTTGAATTTGTGAATGATTTTTGAGAAACAGTGCTCTGAATTCTTTTTCTTTCTTTTTTTCTCTTCTCTTTCTGGTTCTTCCTTCCTTTCTCTCTATATCTTTCCTTTCTCTCTCTTTGTTTCTTTTGTGTTTGGCAAAATAAAAGACCAAGAAAAGGACGGACATATGGGGCCACTTGTTTCAAACTTTTAACCCCTAAGCAAGTTTGTTATTGTTTTCTTTGGGGGGAACATAATGTGATAAAATTCTCTGGTTCCCTCTGGGTGTACTGGACTGTTCCCTGAACTAAGGGAAAAAGCAGTGGAGGTTCTCTCTTGTCCTAGAACTGTAAGTGCTGATATTTATCTAACAACATAACTCAGCAAAAAAAGAAAAGGAAAATGAAAAAGCTATAAAAAATAAGTCTTATATTCTGAAATGCTAGTGATCTATATGTGAGAACTTATATGTTATGCCAGAAATAACTATTAAAATATAGTTTTGACATCTCACGAAGTTCTCAATTCACTAAGGCTACGTCTCCCCATGGATTTTACGAGAACTAAAGAATGTCAAGCCATCTACAGTTGCAGGTGCTTCAGCATTACTATAAACTCAACAAAGAAGGGAGGGATGGAGAAATAAGATTGGTAGAATAGCGTGCATTCTAGACCTGGCCCATTGCCAGAGTGTGGGGTATGTTCTGTAAGATCAATTCACAGTTTGCTCTTTTGGAAAAGGCAATGAGGTCCAGACAGGTTGGAACTGTTGAGATTTCCACTGGAAATATTGAAGGGGAAAACCCCCACCAATTATTTTATGACTAAGAAAAATGTAGATTGGATGAGAACCTGTTTCCTGCAGTCCTGGTGGCTTTGGCTATGTGGAGGTGGAGGGTTTCTATACAGAGGTCCTATTGAGAAAATGGAAGAAGTGTTCAGTTGAGCTTTCACCTCCTCCTCTATTTTATGTCCATTATTTATGATGATTTGCAAATAGAGGGCACTTTTCATCTTAAACTGTTTTACAAGCATTAACTGAGTATTTACGTTGTGTTAACGAGAGGCAGGGGTTTAAGGTGTTTTTTTTTTTTTTTCCCAGTTGCTGAGCTGAAGGTCTGGCCACAAAAATGGAAATCTTAATTAAAATGATGGAGGAAAATCTGCCGCTGATGTAGAGAGCAATTAAGTTGAGAGTTTATGGAGGGCAAGGAAGGCAAATGACTGAGTCTGTTTCTCCAAAAGGGATGGGGTTGAATGGGTCTACCACTACTGTGAGGTTCAGAAAAGCATTTTTTTATAATGATCGCTTCCAGCATAACTCCATGACCCTTTTGATAAGGTCCCTCACTTACATCCTGCCAGTGACTCCTCCAAGGCCACTGAAAGTAAATACATCCGAGAGAGGTAAAGCTACTCACCTTGGGAGGCTTCCTGGAAGAAACCACATCTTCGTGCCACAATAGCTGTATGGAAAAGTTAGTGATCACCTTAGCATTGTTCCTACTACTTTGAGAGAGGATAGAGCCCTGAGCCCCAGAAATCCTGCTTTTAGCCAGGCTGCCATTTGGCTATCACCGGGGGTCCCTCAGTATATTCTGCTATAAAATGGATACAGAGACACATTAAGTCCCTCCAAGACATGAAGTCAGAATTCCTGTGGCAGAAAAAACAAAAACAAAAACAAAAAAACTTGAGCCCAATGCCCTGTTCATGGAAGGCAATATCTCCACACATATGATTTGATACTGCACTTGACCCAGAGGACTTTAGAATACAGAAGATGTAGGGTCTACTTAGCATGAGCCAATTTCATTCCTAAATCCTATTTTTCCTGTTTCTGTTTTGTTTTTTTTTTTTTTTTCACTTCCACTTGTGGTTGTGTTAACTGCTGCTATTCCCCCAGGTAAGAAGTTTCTCTGTCTCTCTGTCTTCCTCTCTGTCTCTGTTTCTCTCTTTTTCTCTCTCATTAAGTGAAAAAAAACAAAAACAAAAACAAAAACCCTGTAATGACATATAGTATTTTCACAAATCCATTTTTATCCACAGTAAATTATCTTTAATCAGTAGCTGGGGAATGATGTTAACTTAATATTCTGGCCCATAATGAACGCATAGGCCATCTGTGGATGGCCAATCTTTAGAGAATTTAAATTAATAAAATGTATTTGATCCCAAATCTGGACTGAGCATAGTTTAACCTTTGACAATTCAAAAGGTTTACCAGGATCTCTGAGTGGTGTGGGACTCTACTGCAATCATAGCAGTTTTCATTTACATAGTAAATGTTTCTAGATATTTTATCTCATTGAATTGCAATAGGAGTCTGCAAAGAAGGGGTTCAGTGAAGTCCACAGTGGCAAGGGGATTAAACACAGGTTGTTTGATGCCAAGACATGCTCAGTCCCCACCACCCTGCGGTCCGTCATGCACTCTGTTGCCCTTCTGTGCAGGGTAGTTCTGACTAATAGCAGTAATGTAATGCTAGGAGTGATGCACCTTTGCCTCACCGCCGCTGCCCTTGCAAGGACCAAGGAGGAAACATGACCATCCTTCTATTTTTTTGGCAGGTAAAGATGCACATCATGTCCTCCTCCCATCTCTTCTACCTGGCCCTGTGCTTGCTCACCTTCACCAGCTCCGCCACAGCTGGACCGGAGACGCTCTGTGGGGCTGAGTTGGTGGACGCTCTTCAGTTCGTGTGTGGAGACAGGGGTTTTTATTTCAGTAAGTAGCCCTCCCTCTCACTGCTCTGTGGATTTACAACCACAGGGAGTGTGTGAATAACTGAATGACTGCCCGTGGCTGGCAGCCTTCCTCAGCCTCTGAGATTCCTTACCTTAAAGTAAGCCTAGTGTTTCAGCGGGGCTGTGGCAGGTTTTGCAGATTTAGGATGGAATTTTCCTCCTTAGCAGTTTGTCTTTTAACTACTTCCTGCTGAGCTTTCCCAAAATTATTGTGCTCTACCCTCGCTATTCCTTTCCTTTCAGTGAAAGGAAGGGACAGAATGACCCTGGGGAATTGAGGTTTTTGTTTTTGAGATCTGTGGGTGCTCATATAAACATATGGAAACACGGAGGCCTGTTTTTAGTGGTAGGTAATTTGGAGTAAAATAGTAAGGTGGACTGGAAAGAAGAATTAAGGGGGCACATCCCAGATGTCTCCGCGCAATGTGAAATCACCAGGGACAGAAGGTGAACTTTGCTCAAAGGCACATTTATAAAATCACAGGCACTCTCTAAATGCAAACTGAAATGTCATATTAATTTGTCCTCTATGAAAATTGACCTTGATGTTTTGTTATAGCCTTCCTTTGACTTAGCTTTTCTCTGGGACTCTCCAGTGATATCTCCATCTGGAAAAGGGTTTCTGACAAGTGTGGGGTTACTTATCCCATAAGTAGGTCTCAGGTGATTAAAAAGCTGACAGTCAATAAAAAATAGACAGCCCAGTCAATGTTTGCAAATAATAAACACAAACATAAGTCAATGTTGCCTGGGGGAACTGAGCACTTACAGAATCTACCTCAGAGACATCTATCTCATTGTATATTATAGGACAGTGAAAGATTTAAAGCCAATTGCTCATTCTATATAATTATTTGGAATTTTAGAGAGTTCCAGGAAACTGATGTTCAGGTCCTCAGTGAGCATGAATCATTCTTAGAGGTTCATTATCACTCGAGTGTAGACAGCTTACCTCAGTTGCCCACTAAGCTTTGAATAGCTCCTCTGATGACTCACACACTTCAGGTCTCTCTCATCTTCCTCCCAGGGAAGGTGGTGTGTGCCTGTGCATGCGTGCGTGCGTGTGTGTGTGTGTGTGTGTGTGTGTGTGTGTGAGAGAGAGAGAGAGAGAGAGAGTAGGGGGAGGGGCCTGAATATAGCAGTCTGGGATGAGTCAGAGAGATGGCAAGGGAGAGGCTGATGGGGGACTGATGATTTGTATTCATCATAGATTTGGCAACAAATAGTCTTTAAACAACTAGTGACAGAGAATGAGAAGTGCTTTTTACTACTTGAATGGGCAAACACCCCTCTCTGTTTCCAGCTAATGCTTCAATAGGATGAATTCATTTATTTTTCTGGCAATAAAGCAATTCTATCCAGGTCTCTGTTGTAGGGCAGATGAATAAGTTCATTGGGTGGGTACTTTTCAAATAGCAGACTTGTTTTAATTTTGAAATATACAGTGAAAGGCAAATGTGCTACATCAACATCACCCAATGATGGGTTGTCATTATTCTTTACTTTGCTGCTACTGATCCACATATAAAAAAATGAATAAGTAATTCTCACATATTATGCCCAAGAGGATTTTTTTTTTGCCTTGATAATCCATTTGTGCAGTTTCCTTTGATCCAAGGATCAAGGTAATTGCCAAGCCCACAATTGTCTTCCGTTATGTGCCAGGATGAATTGTCTTGTTCAACTTGACGTGCTCCAGGATTTCCATGCACAGTGCAAGGAAACTGGATCATTCTGTGCTTATGATGTTTGCATTAGATAATGAAAAATGGGAATGTAAATAATGATTTGGTCTCAAGTAACCATATAATACTGATATATGTGCACACAGACGGTTAAGAGTATTGGACAACTATGATGGAAACCAATTTCAAGGCACCAAAAAGGTTCTCTTATTGAAATCACCTAACCAGGATCTACCCTCTCAATGAGCTCCTTGATGCCAAAGACTATGTTTATTTTCCATTGAATCCCAGTATCTAGCTCAATGCCTGGCTGATATAGAAAAGGCTCTATTTGATCACTGAACTGACAAGCTTGAATTAAATTGAACCCAGTTGAATGGAATGGAATTACTTATTTGGGATCTTAGTCTTCAGAACCATAAAGAATTAGGTTTGTCAATTACTTTGGATAATTCATATCTCCTATTTACCCAGCTATTGGATAAAATTGTTTTTCTTTTATTCAACTGAATACGACTGTGAGGCTGACTAGAGGCTGCATTTTGGTTGTCATCCCTAAGCTACACTGATGGTCTGTTTTGTGTCTGCGCCAATTATTTTAACAGGCATTAACTGTTGTCAACAAATTGTATTGAGTTTCCTTTTTGTCCCTTGAGATTTAGTGTGTGTGAAGTTAGCTCTAAGCATTTACAGGTCTTTGAGATACTTTTTTAGAGGAAAGCAGTCTTCCTCACCTCTATCCCTTGTCAGTTGACCCTTTTCATTCTTTTTACCCTTACTTTCAAAGTTTTATTGCAGCTGTGCCTTTTATTTTAAGCTGCTTCAAATCCATTTTGAAAGTACAGTTTTGTTGTTGTTTTCTTTTTTTAATAGTGGAAAGCAGTTTCTGATCTTCGTTTGAAATTCAAACATCTAAAAGAAAATTGCCTCCATATTTATCTTTTTTGTCAGGTCGAAATGTTTAACAAGGAGAGTTTTCTTAACCTATTAGACACAGAACAGTTCTGAATAAAAAAAAATAATGTTTACTTTGTATAGACTGACCCAGTGTGTGAATGAGCTCATATTTCTCTATAAGCACAAGTTCTACTACAACACAGTGGATGCAACCTTCTAGATTATCTGTTTTGTGAACAATTTTTCCAGCATAAGTGGAACAGTTCCTCTATAATTAATGCAGCTTCCCCAGACATTTCATGAAATGAAAGTTCCAATGAAGAGCTAATTACTAATTCTTCCCTATGCGTCATAGTAAGAGAAGGTATCAGCCAGTCTTATGCTCTCACAGTCCTGTGAGGAAAATGGTGGCGTAATGAAGTGGTACATTGGGAAAGAGCTCGCTATTATCTCGCCAGATTGATGGAGCCCTTATAGAGGAGGGCTTGTTATAACCTCATTTTGCATGAAGCATAGCAAGAGGAAAAGAGCTTCAAGTGAAAAAGAAGAAGTTAAGCTTGCCATAGATATAATTTTTTAACAGTCATGGTGATTAACCATTTTAACATGTACTTTAAGGGCTTGTGGAATTTCTCTCTTTGGAGATACTTAAAAATTTGAAAGACAACCAACCATCTTGGATGGTTTCAATTAAGAGCAACCAAAAGAAAGCAAGTTTCTGGGGTCCTTTTTAGTTTTAAGAGTCTATAAACAGTCCCTTAAATAAACTGTATATGCTTTACCTCAGCGGTCTGGGAAAAAGAAGAAGTAAATCAAATAGAAAAGAAAGTTGGATACCCTTTCAGCTATTCCAGATTTATAGCTTTTGTAAAACACACTTCCAATTCATAGTTATTAAGAACAGGTCTGAATAAACTAAGGGCATTCTTCATGCGTTAAAACATACTGCTTTATGGAGTTTAAGCGAAACTTTGCAATGAATTTCATTGTTATTGATTGCAACAAACTTCCTAGATCTAGGTATTATTATTAACTCAGGTTTCTTTCATTTGAAATATAGTGCTCAGAAAACTGCTCCCAGACCTGTCACTCATTAGCTGTATGACTTTGGCAGGCATTTAAACTTCCTGGGTCAAAATGTCCTTGTCCATAAAACAAGGGGATTTTGTTAAAGTAAATGACTTCTTATAACTTTAACAGACTCATAGTCCAGGTTATAATGAACAAGGATTTGGTGTTATTCAAGAAAGGAGAACCTTAGATTTAAGCAGTGACCAAAGAACATTTAGTGTCCTTTATCTTCCCTAAAGAGTTTCTGTTTACCCCAAAGATAGAAGATTCCACCTACGTAAAGAAAGAGTAGCTAGCTTCTTTGTTTTGTTTTGTTTTGTTTTGTTTTGTTTTGTTTTGTTTTGTTTTGTTTTAATCTGGGTTTCAACCCCTCAGGAGTGGAATAGAAGCTCAGACATGACCAAATACACGAAAGTCATCTGGCCAAAGGAGCACATGCAAGCAGATTGCCATGTTTCTTTGCGAGGAAGGACCAGCTGACAGTTCTCATCTTTACATTTTCTCACTCTCTTGGTTGTGAGAACAAGTGAGTAGGTCAGTTTTTAGTTGTCCTTTATCAAGTCAGATGGGACAAATAAGAATCTATAGGCTTCTAAACCTTGACCAACTGCCTTTTGCCAGCCTATTGATACTGCCTTTCCAATTAAAGAAGGGAGTGTATAGTTCAGGGCATTCAAAGATATACACCATTAGCAGTGCTTTGAGTGGGGCTGGGTTTGAGCTACACCATTTGTATTCCACGGTTTGGTACCCCTTAGACTGCCAGCCATGCATTTGTATGACAACTGGTCAAAGTTAAGGGTCCAGTCTCTGGCTGTGGAAAAGCTTTCTCTTTGAAATTAATTGGCACATGTGGGGTTTTACCTTATGGCCCTGGGCTCATTAGTACCACTAAGCTAATAGGCCACAGATATTCTTAAAGAAAAGTAATGTGTTTTTATATTGATGCTAAATGCTTGCATCCCCGAGGACCAGTCTATACAAACAAAGGACCACTTAAAAAGTGATAGCTTCTGTGAGAAATTAGAAAATAATTTGCATTTTTCTAACATTTTAATATTCTTTAAGACCATCTCCCTGATGGAGAATTATAAGAAGCAGAAGAGTGAAGGGTTCAAGACCGAGAGCATGTTCTCTATTGCCAAGAATTCAGAGTTTGAATTCTAGCTTACTTGGTAGGTAGCCTTGAGCAAATTACTTAACCTCTTTGTTCCCCAATTTCCTCATCTGTAAAATGGGGCCTACCTCATAAAACTGGTGTAAGGATTAAATGAGTTCATGTATTAGAACATATTAACTTAGAATACTGCCTGGCACATAGTAAGCA